CAAAAAATTTCAAAGCCTCATTGCAGCATGCATTGAGGAAATGTAATTCCAATTATATTGAATTAGAGCATTATTTAATCTATGAAGATTTTTTTTGAAGAATTTTGAAAAGTTATATACTGGTTGGAATTGACAAATTTTTTTGATACCACTTGCGAAAGAAATATCGGATAGTGATCCGATATATCGGTTATAATCGTGCCACTGCAAAATGAGTTTAGCTGGTAAGTAAAAATATTATCGATAATGGAATGGGAAGATTCTGAGATTCTGGAAGGAAGATTATTAGTTGGGAAAATAGAAAAGGAAGAAAGTACATCTAAAAATTTGATTGCATTAGGAGAAGAAGTTTTGAGATCAATATTAAAATCGCCCATGATGTAAATATGTTTATTTTCAGATATTGCAATGTCAAGAATGGAATTCAACCCACCAAATAGAATATCAACATGAATGTTTGGGAGTCTGTAGACATTTATTATTAAATAATTTTTTCTATATGACTTTATCTCAATAGCATCAATTTGTATATCTTTATTAATTTGTAAGTCAAACCTGTGAATGTAGTTGAGATCTTTGTGAATACAAAAAGCCAAACCACCACCTTGCTTTATTTCTCTATTCAATAATATAATATCATAATTATTAATTGAAGCCAATTGAGAATTACATGAATTTAACCAAGTTTCAGTGAGAGAGATTACATCATATTTAATATTACAAGTTTCAATAAACTCTTCAAAACAGTCTAATTTGTTTAACAAGCTTTGACAATTGAAACATAATAAATTCAAGATGTTACCATCTGAAGGTAAGGACTTGGATATGTGAGCATTCAGATTAACTGGAAGGATGGATGTGCTAACATGCAAAGAATCAATATATTTATTAAATATTTGTAATAATTGTGCATTATCACAATCAAAAAATTTGTTTAAATAATCAAACAAAAAATCACAACTGGTTGAGGCAGAATTAAACATCTTAGTATAAGATGAATTATTGGTTTGTGGCATCGCCATCTTTTAGTTTTGAATTTTCCACTTCCTGAGCCCAATCAGAGGACAGAACATTTTGTTCTTTAATTTCTAGAGAATCATTAGGTATTACCTTTGGTTGCATTCTATTAGCATCAACAATTGTAGGAAGAGAAGTTTTATTTTGTGAAGGCTCACGAACACTGTTAACCTGCTCTTGAGCCATATCCTTAAAATTGACCCAGTGTCTATGAATAATGCCCTTTGGCCAAAAAGAGGTGTCGTTGACAATTTCAAAATCATCACTTTCAACAATGAGTTTGAAAGAGTTAAAAGCCCTTTGAGTTTTAAGTTTTAACAAGTACAAACCCAGAATTTTTATGTTTCTCTTTTTGAGATAGCTCAACATTAAGTTCTCATCACAAGAACTAACCACATTGGATATGTATAAAGTTGCCTTTTTTGTAAAATCCACTTTGGCTGCTTTTATTTCATCATTTTCAGCACGCCCTATATTATATTTAATTTGAGGGTGCAAATTTTTTTTGCCGCAAGGGCAAAGTTTAACAAGGAAGGTGAAAATGTGGGGGATGAACCCTCGCCATTTCGAAGTGCAAGCTTTGATTTATGACTTAATTTCATCTGCCAATCATTAGCTTCAACATTTTCATGTATTTTAATAGGTTCCCTGACTGATGGAAAACTGGGCGGGGCAGTGTCCCTAATAGACAATTTATCAGTATTTAGTTGTGAATTACTGAGAATTAAGTTTGAGAGTTTAGAAAATTCATTCTCAAGAGTTGTAATTTTATTATTTAAGACCTGTATTTGAGAATATAATTCT